TTTAAAGATTTTATTTATTTATTCATGAGAGACAGAGAGAGAGAGAGAGAGGCAGAGGGAGAAGCAGGCTCCCAAGGAGCAGGAAGCCCGATGTGGGACTCGATCCCAGGACCCTGAGATCATGACCTGAGCCGAAGGCAGACGCTTAACCATCTGAGCCACCCAGGCGCCCAAGGAAAAAGAGATTTGACAGAAATATTTCCTGTGGAAGCCCAGACATTGGGATTACTAATCAAAGACCTTAAATCAACAGTTTTAAATATGCTCAATGAACTATTTGGACAACAAACTAAATGAAATCAGAATACTGTATGAACAAATAGAAAACATCAATAGAGACATAAATTATAAAAAAGAACCAAATAGAAATTCTGAAACTATAAAGTACAATTGATGATATGAAAATTTCACTAAATACCACTACATACCCCTATTTCACTATATACCCCTATTGAAATAACCAAAATCCAGAACACTGACCACAACAAGTGTTGGAGAGAATGTGGAGCAACAGGAACGCTCATTCATTGCTGATGGGAATGCAAAATGGTGCTACAACTCTGGAAGACACTGTGGTGGTTTCTGACAAAACAAAAGGTACTCTTCCCATACGATGTAGCAACCACACTCCTTGGTATTTACCCAAAGGAGTTAAAAACTCAGGTCCATACCAAAACCTGCACATGGATGTTTACAAGCTTTATTCTCAACCACCAGAAATCAGAAGCAACCAAGATGTCCTTCAGTAAGCACACAGATATATAAACTGTGGCACATCCAGACGGTGGAATATTATTCAGCACTAAAAAGAAACAAGCTAACAAGCCATGAAAAGGTGCAGAGGGAACTTAAATGCATATTACCAAGTGAAAGAAGTGAGTCTAAAAAGGCTACGCATTGTAGGATTCCAACTATATGACATTCTGGAAAAGGCAAAACTATGGAGACAGGAAAAAGATCAGTGGTTGCCAGGGTTTAGAGGGAGGAAGGGATGAACAGGCAGTGCACAAAGGATCTTTAAGGCAGTGAAACTGAGTGTGACACTATAAAGGTGGATACATGTCATTATAAATTTGTCCAAACCCATAAAATGTACAACAGCAAGAGGGAACCCTAATGTAATCTACGGACTCTAGGTGATAATGACGTGTTGATATAGGTTCATCAATTGTAACAAACATTCATTCTACTCTGGTGGGAGATGTTGGTAATGGGGGCAGCTATGTATCTGTGGGGGTAGGGGGTATATGGGAAATCTCTGTACCTTCTGCTCACTTTTGCTCTGAACATAGGACTGCTCTAAATAATAAAAACTATTTTAAAAATTTCACCAAAGGGGCTCAATGGCAGAGTTCAGCAGGAAGAAGAAAGAGCCAACCAACTTGACGATAAGCAACAGAAATTATCTAATCCAATGAGCAACAGGAAAAAACAATCAAGAAAAATGAACAACCTGAGGGGCCTGTGAGACATCATACCAATGGATGCATTAGCAAAGTCCCAGAAGGACAAGAAAGAGAGAAAGAACAGGAAAAAAAAATCTCAAAAAACAGCCAAAAGCTTCCCAAATTTGATAAAAGACATAAATCTACCCATCCCCAAAACTCAACAATCTCTAAACAGAATAAACTCAAGGAGATCTACACTACAACACATCATAGTCATATTGTCAAAAGCCAAACACAGGGGCGCCTGGGTGGCTCAGTTGGTTAAGCGACTGCCTTCGGCTCAGGTCATGATCCTGGAGTCCCAGGATCGAGTCCCGCATCGGGCTC